AGATAGATATGCCACAAAGGTTGTAACTGTGAAAAATGGTCCTTTCTCCAGTGCCACTGTAACACTGAACAGTCACTAAAAGAATAGTTGTAAGCCAAGGACTACATGCAGCCATAATATCAACCTAGATAAGTGGAAAGTGTACCACTTACAACCTGTATATGGGGATAGTTTGTAGGCAAAGCGAAGAGGTGGAATTTTGGAAGGAAAGTCAACTTTGATATGTCTTTATCATGCAAACATATCTGCCCTTCACTTGACTTAAACTGGAATTAATGAGGCTTCAGACATACACGGATTATTTGCCTCAGCGGCTGGTTCAATTTCCCCACTGTGCTAAATCAATACGGAACAAGAGATAATTGATTATATAGATATATATATATATGAATCCCGGGATGATTTTTTAAATACTTACATTAGCGGCACCCAGAAGGATCAACGTGGGCCCAAGACCCATCGTATATATAGACCTGAGCATAACAGAGACCAAAAATGGGCGGATTCCAACCGGTTTTGGGAAAAAGAAAAGCAGAGAGGTACAAACGGCCACAGCGATCCAGAGGAGAATGGAAAATAATGGAGAAAGTGTGCCTAGATGGAAGAAGAGACATCATATTTTGGAATATAAGAACTAGATCATCATTATCTTCTTTTAATGAATCCATAATCCCTTGCCGGATGGAGTCTGGGCAAATGAATGGACCTGAGTTTTTACTGGCCGGATGCCTTTCCTGTTGCCAATGTGGAGTTTTGTTCAGCAGATACATTCTCATTGTGCCCAGAGAGACAAATATCTGCCTCCACCTGGGATCGAACTCACAGACCCCTGATTGTGAGGTGAGAGCTCCACCTCTAGGCCACCGCACCACAATATCAGAACTAGATCCCTGAATTAAATCAGTCAGGATCCAATCAACATTTTTCCCACCTTCTACAAGGCAGAAAAAAAGGGACGTTGAACCATTTCATTTTATAGTAAAGCTATCGATGGCAGAAAATAGAATTGAAGGACTTCCAATAGAGAGAATAGAGAGAGGGAAAAGGGAATCATTCAGTTTTTAGCTGTGGTTGGTTTGGTGAACTCTTAAGTAAAAAGCCTTACAGGTGAGTCCTTGACTTACAACCAGGGGTGGGCTTCAAAAAATTTAGCAACCAGTTCTCTGCCCAGTTGCTGGATGGGCGTGGCAATGTTGGGCGTGGCCTAGTCAGCCTCCTGCACTATGGCGGGCGGGGAGTTTTTGCACTCCCTGGGCTCCAGAGGCTTTCCTCGAGTCTCAAGGAGGGCAAAAAAGGCATCCCTGAGCTCCGGAGGCCCTCTGGAGGCCGGAAATGGCCCTGTTTCATTTCCGGCATTCCGGAACTTCCAAAAGGCCCATTTTTTGCCCTCCCCAAGCCTCTGCACAGGCCCCGCACTTACCTGGCAACCAAATGGACCGCGTGGAGACTCCTGGGAGGGGAGAGGTGGAGTGGGCGGGGCCAGCCTGTCATTGCAACTACCACTTTGGCGAACCAGATATAAAATTAACATCCGGTTCGCTCGAAACGGTGCAAACCGGTAGCAGCCAACCCCTGCTTACAACCATTTATTTAGCAATTGTTCAAAGTTAGAAGGGCACTGAAAAAAGTGACTTATGACCGGTCCTCTTACTTATAACCATTGCAGCATTTCCACAGTCACATGATCAAAATTTGGGTGCCTGGCAACCAGGATATATTTAAAATGGTGGCACCAAACCAAAGTTACGTCATCACCATTTGTGGCCTGGCCAGTCAGCTCCTCTAATTAAGGACTTGAGGACTTCAACTCCCAGAATTCCTCAGCCAGCAAGGGATTCTGGGAGTTGAAGTCCACATGACTTAATGTTGCCAAGGTTGGGAAATCCAGATTTAGACAAGGTGTGTCTTAAAGGGAATAGGCTTGAATTATGGAATATTTTACCCAGGGTTGAAATTGGGTTGCTGAAGGCAAGAAATACACTACGAATGAAAAATACATTAAAGAATGTTTGCAGTGATGTGAGAAGTGTGCTAGTTGGGTACGTGGGCCGACAGGTAGATCACCAGAATGGTGATCCCATACCTGGTTGAGAATCTGAATGATTTGCAGTGAAGATTGTATTGTGTACTGAGAAACACGGATGCGAAAAAGAATATATCAAAAGAAAAGGGAGATGTGTTTGACAGGGAAAAAGGAGGGATTGAAGATAGCAGGTTATATAAAAATGACAAAAATATGCAGCAAAGAGATGAATTTGTATACCTTAGGAGAAAATTTCCTAAAGACATGGCAAGTGTCAGGCACAAAATATTAGGTCCACTCAGGAAAGTCCAATTAAACTGATTTATTGCTAAAAGCTCATGCACGGGAATCTTCTCAAATAACAGATAGCTCCTGCTTGGAGTTAGGAGTCAATGAAATTCAAAGGTGGTTGGACTTATTTTATTTGTGACGATGTAGGGATTGCAGGTTGATTCCTCTTTGGACTCCATCTCCCTGTTCTGTGACGCCTTCTTCTAAGAGAAATGGATGGATTCTGGCCAACTTGTTTGAAAAAAATCTTATTATGGGATTCTAGATCTATTGATTTTTTAAAATAGATATACATTTTATATATGTATATTTAGAGATATATAAACAGATCTATCTACTTATTTTATTTGTCTCCCTTTATTTCTTTGTCGTTAAAACATAAATTTAACACAAACATTTTAGGTGGAGGCTGCATGAAAGGAATGGCCCGGTCATTTCTTCTCCCATACATTTTGGGATATTTTTTTTTTACTATCGCTAGCAAAGGAAAGGTGTGAGTTTTGCAACGTTCATAACCCAAGCAACGTACCTTCATCACCATCATCTCCAAACGGGTAGAAAAGGGCCACTGCTAGATTGATGAAAACAGCCAGATTGAAAGATATGCTTCCCCAGAGAGAAATTTGTCGAGAGAACCAAAATAATGCCGGATTATCTAGGAAGGAAAGGACAAACAATTATCATTCATCTCAAGAAAAATGGTTGCTCCAGATGTTGTGGGTGCTCCCTTGTTGGAGACTTTCAAAAAGAGACTGGACAAACATTTATGTCAGGGTTCCGATGGATGCCCTAATTAATTCATGAGCCTTGAGCCAAGTTTCAAAAGAAATCCAATTATTTATTAGGAGCAACATATTGGCACTACTTTTCCCAAGTGCAGTTGGCTCTGCCGTACATAATTTACTGCCCACCTATGACCCTGTTTCCCCGCCTCCTCCCAGGGTGTATCATAAATCACATTCTCCAATGGAGCACTTTTGCAGGCTGTAGAAAAACACACCTCTCTCCAGCTGGCTCTGGTAACCTAGGATACAATCTGGAGAAAGATATGCGTGGAATGTGCTTTTGATCATAGCAACCCAACTGCTCCATCAGGTCTCTGCAAGGTCCCTTACAACTCTATTATTTTATGTTCTATCTTGTTTTTTTATGGTCAATACATGGACAAAGCAGGACTTTACAACAGAACTTTCCCCAAAGTTAGATTAGACTTGACTTTTAGATCTCTTCCGAGTAAACCTCAAGCAGAAAAATCCTTACAAATGCCATACTCACTCCTAATTTTCCTCTGCCATTTCATTTCATTATACAGATCCTCGGTCTGTTGAAAAAAGTCGTTGACTTTGCTCCCTTGCTCATCTCTTTCTGTGGTATTGAACACCCGGCATTTTGATTCATGAGTGAGGAATTCACAAACGTTTGGCACGGGAAATACTATTTGCTCCATGGTTCTGTCGTGACGGACAATCTGCAAAGACACATAACTCACTCGGAGACACACACACAGGAACAGGAAAATCTTAACTTTGAGGGATGAGGTATTGGGGTAACAGGAGATTATCGCCTCTTAAGTGTTCAACATGAAGTTTGCAAAGGTTCAATTTTGGTTAATAATATACATTTGGGAGAATTTATATATGTCCCAGACAGATATAAAAGATTCTTAAGAAAAAGAAAATCAATCTTTCTTTCTTTCTTTCTTTCTTTCTTTCTTTCTTTCTTTCTTTCTTTCTTTCTTTCTTTCTATCTATCTATCTATCTATCTATCTATCTATCTATCTATCTATCTACTTTCCGAATATACAATCCTGGCTAACTTCAGAATTGTACCTCTTCACGAATAGCTGAACATTGTGATACTGTGAAGAAAGCAGTATAACATTAAGATTTAGGAAACATTTACCTTTCCAAATATTTAGGGAATAAACATTATTTATGACCGAATTGGTAACCAAATAGTCCTGAGCCACTCCTTGAGTAAAATTTGGTAGGAAACCTCATGTAGATATCTTTGGTGTATCCCACAGTTGGCTACCTGCTCATTCCTGGTGACAATGTCACCTCACCAAGCAACAGAAAAAAGATTCCATCAAGAACTCTTTCTGTTATTTCAACAAATCTCGTATTTCAACTATGGATCAGCAGAAGGAGAACTCTATAGGACAGAATGTAGCATCAAAGCCTATAAATATTTTCAGTTCAGTGAGCAAGTTTTTACCTCAATTTGGGCAGTGTGGTTGGCGTAATACTTCAAAGCTTCATCTCCTTCTTCTGGATCTGCCCCAGGTTTCAGCATGTGTTGTAATACTTTGTTATGACGGGACAACTGGAAGTAAACGGAGGAGAAAGAATTATTAGAAATGCCATCTGGGTAGCTTGTTAACTAAAAGGCAAAAGGCATCGCCAGATAACCTTCAGCTCCACTGAATAAAACATCTAACTGAACCCAATGGGTTATTGCTTAAACTTCTGGTTATTTATTGAGATGCATGGCCTGCAACCTGCAGTATTAGAAGTCATAAAATTGTAGGGCTGGACGGGACCTTGGAGGTCTTCTATCCAACCCCCTCCTCAAGGCAGGAGTCTTAGAGCATCCCAGCCAAATGGTTGTATAGTCGTTTTTTTAAAACCTCCAGTCGTTCTCTGTGTGGTTTCTGCATGGAGCATCTCATCTCTCTTTTTTCAAGCTTGGACCCCATGTTCAAAATCCAGGAGGAAACGAATTATCTGCACCTCCCCATCAGTCAGTCAGGGGGCCCAAATCTAACCAATTAGGCAAGTTCACAAACATCTAAGAACTTCTGATATTTTATATCTATCTATCTATCCATC